TACTTCCTCCTGGTTTCTTTGAAGTCCAGTTGTCCAGCTGTTTGTTATTTTTTAAAAAGAATTCATTTTATTTATTATTATTATTCTTAAATTTGCTATAGGGCATGTGCCCTCACTAGAGAAAGAGAGGGAAAGTGAGAAAGCAAGCCACCAGGTCTGGGATTCAAACTGTGGTCAGCCATGTGGGAGTCTAGCACCTTAACTACCACACCACCTGTTGGCCCCTCCAGCTGTTTTTTAAATGTCATGATATACCCCGATTTGGTTTTTTGTTTTTTTTTTGAGATATTTTTGCTATAGGTCTCATACATTTGCCAGAGAGACAGAGAGATAGAAAGCAAGAAATCACACACAGGGAGGATGGCCACGCTGCAATCCCTTCTCCTCCATTCTCTTCCTGGGATCTTGGACACACACGCACACACGCCAGTGTGATTTTCAAGCTGTGGGGTACAAGACTGTATTTGGCCCCATGTGCTACACCATCTGCTGGCCCCAGGACAATGTTTCCTTAATAAATGTTAACAGAAAATGAAATATAGGGAAGATGAGGCCAAAGGACAGTATTCTGACAGTTTCCAGAGAAAAGGGTAACCTTACTTGTAGACTTTAAAGGGTAGGTGTCTAGTCTAGAGAAGACATCCTGTTGACTTGATAATAGCCATTAAGGTTCTTTTTAAGCAGACTATCTCTAGTTGTACTCTTCAAAGGCAGGCATCTGATTGTGATTTCATTTAAGGAGAAAACTGGCTGAGAGTAAATGAATAAAATTGAAATCTGGCTTTAAAATTAGCGTCTTGTGGAGCCTGCAGGTGGTGTGGTGGTTAAGGGTGCAGGACTCCCACATGGCCGACTGCAGTTTGAATCCCGGGCCTAGTGGCTGGCGCTCTTGCTTTTCTCTCTTCCTCTCCTTCCTCCTCTCTCTCTCTCCCGCTGTCTCTCTCTCTCTGCCCCTCTCTGGTCAAATTAAAATAAGTAAAGTTAAATAACATCAAAAAAAATAATAATCAGTGTCTTGTGAGTCTGATTTCTATGAATCAATTCCCTCAAGTTGTACAGGTTAGTCTGCAGTGGAGTACAGTTCTCGCAACAGTATTTCCACTTTACGAGCAGGATCAATACATGCTTGTTGAACAAGTTAATGTTAAAACCTCTGACCTGAGGGCCGGCAGGTGGCATGGTGGTTAAGGGCGCTGGATTCCCACATGGCCGATGGTGGTTCAAGTCCTGGACCTGGTGGCTTGCTTTCTTACTCTCTCTCCCTCTCTCTCTCCCACTCTGTCCCTCTCTGGTCAAATTGAAATAAACAAATGAATAAATAATAAATAAAAAGTTAAACAAACAAACAAACAGACAAGAAAACTCTGACGTGGGGACTAGCAGTTAGCGTAATAGCTGTGTTGTTGAACTCTCATGTAATCGACTGTGGTTCGGGTCCTGGACCCGGTGGCTTAAAGTCATGCCGGGCACATGTGTGTGTGTGCCTAAGATCCTGAGAGAAGAATGGAGGAGAAGGGGTTGCGGCATGGCCATCCTGGGGGGGTGGGGATTTCTCGCTTTCTGATTTCTGGTGAGGACACGCACCCTATATCAAAAACGTCTCCCTTGCAACCCCATCCCAAAAAAACCCCTCTGACCTGAAGAAGTTTCATCATTAAACCTATAGGGGTGTAAATGATAGCAGAAATTAAACGGAGCAGGGGTGAGCAGGTGGCATGGTAGTTAAGGTGCTGGACTCCCCCAAGGCTACTGTGGGTCGAGTCCCAGACTCATTGGCTTGAAAATCATTCCAGGCATGAGTGTGTTTATGCCCAAAATCCCAAGGGGAGAATGGAGGAGGGATTGCGACATGGCCATCCCGCATGGGGGATGATTTCTCACTTTCCCCCTCTCTGTCTCCGGTGAGCGTGCACACCTTATGGCAAAAGTGAATTAAAAAAAAAGAAAGAAAGAAAGAAAGAAAGAAAGAAAGAAAGAAAGAAAGAAAGAAAAGAAGTAGAGCAGCTTATAGTTTTATTTCCACCCCCAACAGGAAGGTGGAAATAAGCACCAGACTCCCAAATTTCATGAAGATGAAAAACAGGTTAAGGCTGAAGGGCAGAGGGGTTTAATTGCAGACAGGGCTAAGTTAAAATCTTACAAAATTCCAAAATTACCGAGTCATGTTATTTTTAAAGAAGTATTTAATTTTATATATTATTATATTTTTTAATTTGACCAGTGAGAGAGAGAGGAAAGTGAGAAAGCAAGCCACCAGGTCTAGCACTTAAACCCAGTCAGCCATGTGGGAGTCCAGTGTCTTAACTACCATGCCACCTGCTGGCCCCGAGTTATTACATTTTAAAAATGATTTAGGGGGGGAATCAGCAGTTAACGCTAATGGCTATGTCGCTGGACTCCCACGTAGTCGACCGCCGTTCACGTCCCGGACCTGGTGGCTTAAAACTCACGCCGGGTGCGTGTGCATGCGTATGCGTGCCCAAGATCCCGAGAGGAGAATGGAGAAGGGATTGCGGTGTGACCATCCCCCCTGGGGGGGTGATTTCTCGCTTTCTGTCTCTCTGTCTCTCTCTGTCTGTCTGGCGAGCGCACGCGCCCTATAGCAAAAACCTCTCAAAAAAAAAAAAAAAGATTTTAGGGGACCAACAGTTGGCATAATGGTTATGTCGCTGGACTCCCACATAGTAGATTGCGGTTTGAGTCCCGGACCCAGTGGCTTAAACTCACACCAGGCACCTGTGCATTCATGCCCCAGATCCCAAGAGAATGGAGAAGAGATTGCAGCGTGGCCATCCCCCCTCAGGAGTGATTTCTCACTTTCTGTCTCTCTGTCTTTCTGGTGAGCGCATATGCCCTATAGTAAAAACCTCTTCCAAAAAAAAAAAAATCTCTTTAACCACAACTTGGACTTATAACCAGTTCCCCAGCATGGGAAATCCCTTTTCTCAGTCTTTCACTCATTTCCCCGGTCAGTTAGTATTCACTACATGAAGCATTTACAGTTATGCAACACTTAACATATTTTTTCAATTTGTACTTTATTGTACACTCACAGTAGTATTCAAAATAAAGACGATTACACTGGATTTATATTATTGAAGTGTGTCTTGTTGCTCTCCGGTGCTTATTTAATGCATACTCATTGCAGGGATAGAATTATTCTAGTATGGTGTTGCATGTTATCTATTGACACACGCCCTATGGCACCCTGACACATCTCAAGACATCAGCCTTTAACTTCCTCGCTTATTGACTAATTCACTTAACAACATAGTCAAACTGATTAAATAAGGACATGTATTATTTTTAAGGTGTTTTTTTCCCCCGCTCATAGGGCATGTGTGTTTGTACAGACAGACTGAAACAGTTGAGAAGGAAAGTGAGAAATCACTCCACAGAGGGGATGGCCATGCCATAATCCCTTCTTCACTCCTCTCTCATGATTTTGGGCACATGCACAGCATGGTGTGATTTTCAAGTTGCCAGGAATGGGACTTGAACTGTGATTGAACATGTGGGAGACCAGCATTGTAACTGTTATACCACTTGCTGACCCCAAGAATGCCTGTATTAATGCCTGTGTTTGAATTTTCCCTTTTCCCAAACTTGGCTTTAGTCCTTACAATAAATATTTTAAGACTGTCAAATAATTGTTAACACTCTCAAAGCCATTCTTCTCTTGAGAGAAGTGAGAAAGCAACTCCCAAGGGGAATGGCAACACCACAATTTCTTCTCTATTCTCTTCTTGGTATTTTGGGCATGCATGCACCTGTGCCCAGTGTGTGCTTTCAAGTCACTGGTCCAGGTCTTGAACTGTTCAGCGAGCCATCTGGGATCCAGCTGCCTTCACCACCACACCATTGGCTGGCCCACCATTCTTCTTTCATAACCCTTTTCCCAAAAATAACTAATGTTACTCTTTACTGCCAGATTGTAAGTACAAGGACAGTGTCAGTTTTGCTTTCTTTTGCCATTCACAGAGCCTGACAGTGCTTAATACAATTTTTTTCTTAGTTTGCTATGGGATGCAAGCACTTACTGGAGACACAGAGGGAGACACAGACAAAGTGAAAGTGAGAAATCACCCCCTGGGGGAATCACCATGCTGCAGTCCTTCTTCTTCTCTTAAAACTTTAGCCATGCATACAAGTGCCTGGCATGTTTTCCAAGCCACTCAGTTGGCCATGAGATCCAGTCACTCTAAACAATGTACCACCTGCTAGTCCAGTGTTTTTTAAATGAGCTTTTACTGTCATTAGGAAGGCTACTCATAGCTACCTTCAACAACTGTCATACAGGAAATAAAAAAATAAAATTAAAAAAAAAAAAAAAGCCTAGAGGCTATTATGTGGTAGCCACTAAAAGCTCTAGTTCATTTGGTTCATCCACTACTGACAAATTTATTCCTAAATCGGCAAATCCTTTATGAGTCTGCTATTGCAGTTACCAATCTCATCACCCATTTCTTCCTTAACACGACATATTCTCATCCAACATTTTCTTGAATCATGTTTAACCTCTCCAATGTTATTTATCCTGTCACTTAAATCTACCCCATTAATTGTATCTATTTTGAAAATTCTGGGGAAAAAAATCTGACATCTGCAGTATTAAAAAACATACCAAAACAACAAAATTGATACTCCTGCTCATGCCTACCTTCTGGCTTCAGATTATCTCCTCAAATCCTACATGTAGCTACTTTCTCTCTTGCAGGCCCTCCTTCAGATAACTAGCTGCTTTATCATCTCCATTTTGTTGTTTGCATACTGTATTACAGTGTAACATATTTAAGAATTATTTAACTTTATTTTAACTTGACCAGAGAGGGAAACAGAGAGAAAGCAAGCCCCCAAGTCTGGGACTCGAACTGCAGTCAACCATGTGGGAGTCCAGCACCCTTAACCACCATGCCCCCTACCGGCCCCACAGTATAACATACTTTGATGTTTCATTTGATCTTCATAATTCTGAAAAGCCTTGTACACTCATTTTACAGATGAAGAGATTCAGGCTCCAGTAACAACTCCTTGTCTACTAAGTGGCTACATTTCCTGAGACTTGAATTCTTCAGGCCTTTTGACTATGTAACATTTTTGTTAACAATTCTCTGAAGTCAACAATTTGCCTACAGTGCAATCAGGTATATTTTTTAAAAGTGTTATACCATTTAACTTTATTTGGTTATTTTGACTAGAGAGGGACACAGAGAGAGAGAGAGAGAGAGAGAGATTGAGATTGAGAGATTGAGAGAGGGAAAAGAGGGAAAGTGAGAACGCAAGCTGCCAGGTCTGGAATTCGAACAGTGGTTGGCCATGTGGGAGTCCATTGCCCTTAACCAACATGCCACTTGATGGCCCTGCAATCATGTATTTCTACTGTAGCAACTCTCAAATGTACCTGTGCACCAAACATTTTTAGTACTTAGGGAAAACACAAGATTCCAAAAAGTTAATGGAAAAAATAAAATCAAAGGATAAAAAGGAACCAGCAAGTGATGTGGAGGTTAAGGCAGCTGGATCCCACATTAACAACTGAGCAGTTTAAGTCCCAGACCCAGTGGCTTGAAAATCAGGCCACCCACGTGTTTGCATGTTTCTAAAATCCCAAGAGGAGAATAAAGAAGGGACTGTAGTGTGGCCATCCCTCCAGAGGCGGCAGGGGGTGTTTTTTCACTTAACTTCTCTCTCAGGTGAGTGCAAGTGCCCTACACCAGAACATTATTTTTCAATGTAAGCACCATCAGCTTCAAGACTTCTATAAACAATACCAGTCATTTAATCCATCCCTAAAGAACTGAGGGTCCTGGAAATTTAACCATGTCAATGCAGTCTGTTTTCTATTATTAACTGGAGAAAAATGAACACCCTTAAGGGGATTTTTAAGATTAGGAAACAAAAAGTCAGATAGAGGCTAGTCAGAACTGCATGGTGGATGCCTAATGATTTCCCATTGGAACTCACAAAATTGGCCTGGTGAAAGGAGCGAGCAGGAGCAGTCATGGTGAAGGACTGTGGTGAAGCTCTCCTGGGCATTTTTGTGCCAAAGCTTTCATTCATGTTTTCAAAAAACTTGTCTAGCCTGCCTGCCATAAAGTCAACAAGCAAAATGTCTTAAGCGTCCCAAAAACCACTGCCATGACCTTTGCTCTTTACCAGTTCATTTTTGCTTTTACTGGACCACTTTTGCCTGTTGGCAGCCATTGTTTTGACTTTGTATTCAAGATCATCATACTGGTAAAAGTTGTGTGACATTTCCTATTACAACTATTCATAGAAATACTTCCGTATCGGTCCTTTCTTAAAATTTCCATCAAATGCTTCATAAGACAACCTGGATCCAAGTTTGGACACCAGGTAAGCAGAAAGCTTTCTCAAGTTTTTCTGTCAGAACTGTCAGCTGAACCAACATTGAGATGTCTGTAGTGTTGGCTGTTGTTTTTGTTGTTAATCATTGGCCTTTTTCAATTAGGACAGGAGTAATTTTTTCTACACAAATTGACATGGTCTACCATTGCGAGCATCATCATCATCTTATTCCTTCTTAAAATGAGTTTTCCATCTGTAAATTGCTTATCTCTTGGGGGCATTGGTCCCATGAACTTATCATAAAGCATCAGTAACTTCAACATTCTTTTTACCCAAGCTTCACCATAAATGTGATGATTGCTCTTCAAATTTAGCAGAATTCATGTTGCTCTGATAGGGGTTCTTTCCAAACTGGTGTTTTTTTTGTTTTGAGACATTTTTGCTGCACGTGCGCTTGCCAGACAGACAGAGAAACAGTTTTTGCTGCAGGAGCGCTTGCCAGACAGAGAAACAGAGATATGAAAAGCGAGAAATCACCCCCCAGGGTGGATGGCCATGTCACAATCCCTTTTCCTCTCAGGATCTTGGGCACGCACGCACACGCGGGTCCGGGACTCGAACTGCGGTCAACTACATGAGAGTTCAGTGACATAGCCATTACACTAACTGCTGGTCCCAAACTGCTGTTATTCTTGGTGCTTCAAATCAGATCCTGTTCAGACATATTGAAACAAGTTACTGTAATTAATTTTAGTGCCAAAAAAACTGAATGAGAAAGCACCCTCCCCCCAAAGGGGATGGCCACAATGCAATCCCTTCTCTTCCATTCTTGTCTCGGGATTTGGGGCATATGCAGTACCCCCACCCCAAGTTGCTGGGTATGGGACTCAGACTGCAGTCAGCCATGCGAGATCCAGCCACCTTATCCACTATGGCCTCAAGTGTTTAAGTTCATTAATTTCCTCCATAAAAGAGAAGGGAAAGGAGGAGGACGGGTGACCCCAATAGGGTCCACACATTGTGACTCACCCACCCATACCCAGCCAGAATTACAGGCATGTGTGCCCAGCATGTATAGGGAACCCTTGGAACATGAGCCCAGGATTTTCCTATATAGCTTCAGCATTGTTGAGTTCTGCCAAGGTCAAGTGTTTCATTTTACTTCTACTCACAGTAGTTACAGACATTAACACTTTCCCTTCTAAAAGTACTTTTACTATGGATACTAAGAGACCTCTAGTCTATGTCCTATAACCCTGAGAGACACTTTTGTAGACCTATTCCCTTAACAGTAAAATAAAAGGTACACTCAGAAGTTAGAATTTCCTTCTAGTGTGAAAATTGGATGTTGGTGATTAAAATTAGCGTGGTGATTAAGGTGCTGGATTCTAACATGGGCAATCATGATTCAAGTCCTGGACCTGGCAGCTTGAGAATCACGCTGGACCCATGTGCATGTGTGCTCAAAATCCTGAGAATGGATTGCAGCATGGCCATTCCTCTGAGGCAGGCAGGTGATTTCTCACTCACGCTGTCTCTCTCCAAATGCATGGGGGAAAAAAACAAAACAAAACTTAAAAATGGAGTTGTTTGGCCTAGTTTGTGTAATTTATATTCTTTACATTGTATAAGAACATTTTGTTGGCTAAATTGATTCATAAACCTGAGAAAAACTTTGTATTCATGTACAAACAGGATTATACAAGACTGCCAGGTCACAGGGAAGTAGCACGTTGTCGTGGTAACTGAATCCAAGTATCCTGACACAGCTGTGTGGTCTTCAGTTGTGGCCATCTCTGAGCTTTTGTTTCCTTATCTGTAACCCTCTCTGTTGTCCTTACAGGTTTAACCAAAAGGGAAAGTAATGTGGGAAAAAAAAAAAAAAAGCAAAACCAAAACTTGTGTACTTGAAAACAAAAGTACTGTACAGATATAATGTCAGAAAGTATATTGTTTCTGATGGCTGATAAAATATCATCAAAGAAAAGTGCCTCCATAAAAGTTTTATTTATCCCCACAACAACCCTGTGAGGTAGGGTGATCAGGGCATTTGAAGATGAGAAAACTAAATCTACATTACTTGTTCACGGCTATACTGCATAGTAAATAAGTAGAAATTAAATTGAGATTTTTAAATGTCCATGTCTTTATACTGATTCATGTGGAAACAGGCAGAGAGAATATTAAATCCCCCCTACCTTAATGCCAAAAGGACACTGCCTTGAAAAATCCCATTTCAAAAGATGAAAGTAGTATTTCATTGCTTATTTCTACAAAGATTTATAAAATAAAAAAATAGTGAAATATTTTACAGTTAATATATATAATGGTCTCATTCAGGGACATGTCCTTCAGCTATGTATATGATCAAATATTCCAAGTACTAGAAATGCAAACTCTTAAAAAAGTATGAAAGACAAAAATGATAATGAGCAGTAGCCTCAATCTTCTTTATTATTCCTCCATGTATCTTGAATAAGTTCTGTGAAATCTGGTCCCATTTTTTAAAAAGAAAAAGAAAACTCTACCATAAAGAGATGTCTAATAAACTTCTATTTTGTTGCCTAGTCTCAAACAACTGTCACATTATTTAAAACTTCAATTTCCCAAACTGGTCTATCTGAATCACTGGGAGAGCTTTTAAAAAACTAGCTCAGGCTCCACCCTAGACATGGTCAGACAGTTATCTAGGACTAGGCCTCAAGAATCTGTATTTTAAAAGCTCCTCAGAGTAATTCTAATAAACAGATTTGGGAGTCACTGTTATATCTTAAAATACTAATATCAAAACCATAAACTAACTAGTATAAACTTGTTGCTCTTATCCCCTTTTAAAAGATCTCTAAACGTGTTATATCCCCAGAACTCTTGCCTCTGGGCAAGTAATTTCAATTCAAGATACAGAGAAACATTTTATAAAAATGTATCCTAGTTAGTGAGACTTGGATTCCAATAATAATTTAAGTAGCATTTAAATATAAGATTCTGAGTTTTGTGGTTCTTATTCTGAAAATTTTAAATGTATTTTTATACAGGTTCTAAGCAGGCTTTCAATGCAGGGGAAGACATGAAAAGTAATGACACAATCAAGCACATCAGCACTGAAAAAATACTATACTCAAAAATAGCTCATGAGAGGAATAAGAAAGTGAACGAATGACAACCTAAGGCCTTTTGGCCCATACATTTTTGTTCCCAGTCCACTCTTCCCCTATAAGGGGAAATAAAATAAACATTCTTTCCTAGTTGCTTGGCATAGTTATTCGGTGGGTAACTACTAACTAAGTTAATTTAGATACATAAGCTTAAGAGATAACAAATAAATACCTAGGGAAGACAAAGAGAAGTCAGGTCAGAAAACCTTAACTAGCTAATGATGTAATATATAACACCATCATATTAGTACAATTAGATGAAGGCTTCAGTGTCCTTTACATTTCAGCTTTATGTGATTGACACAGACGTGGAAGAGATCTGGTCCTTATGAAGAATTCTGTGCTCGCTGGAAAGATTTGTAGGAATAATGAAATGCTTTCTTCATTGATGAGATGAAGTCTCTCTGTTTTTCAGGCAAATTGACTGAACAGAACAATGAAAAACGAACTTCTGCAGAAGGCTGAATAAAAGTAACAGCTAGCTGAAAGTCATTGGCCAAAGATAATTTTTAAAAATAACCATTCTGTGTTAACTCCCCCCCCAAAAAAACCCCAGAGAAATATTAAAAAAACAATGTACACATCCATTTCACTGACAGTTACAGAAAATAGCTGTTTATAGAAGTTACAATGCTTTCAACAAGTCCCAAACAAATCTTGGGAAACAGATAAAGCCACTGGGTAAATAAATATACATACTAGCTAATATGAAACAAATTATGGTTAAGAATTGTCATCAGCTCTCTTTTAGGACCCAAGGAGAAATATGGTGGTATAAATCTGATTAGGGCTATGTATATTACACAGAATTAAAAAACACAACTCATTAAAACATCCTTTCTAACAATGATACAAATATTTAAAAGAATGTCTTAAAAGTCAGACATTTATCACTGGAAATAGCACAATTTGAATAAGTACTTCAGAGTTGTAATGTGTATACAGATCACTTCTGCTGTGTCTCATCAGGTATCCATCTCTCCTGCATTTACTACAGTCAGTTTTTAAAGAGTTCATGTTTGCTGTGTGAGCTGAAGGGGCTGGGCATATTTCAATAAAAAAATAAACACCTCCAATGAACTAAATGGAAGTGTTTAACATCTACCAACAGATAAAGGAATAATGGGAAGATAGAATATTATATTAAGGTGGAAAGAAGCTGGCAAAATTGTCTCCTTATAAATTATTTAAAATTTTGTAAAAATTTAAAATGATCCAAATAAAATAATAAAGAAAAAATTGATTAATTTGGTCTCCAGAAATTTTCTCAAGCCATACAAAATTTCCCTTATTTTATTTCTTTATGGAAGCTTGTTAATGCTTGATTTGTTTATCAGTTGACTTAAAGGAATTATCCTAGCATGGGACTGAAAACTTTACCATTAATAAAAGGTGACTGGTTTAAAAGTTGGTGCTTATTATTAAAGTGCCCACAGGCACAATGGTATAGGTGCCTACCTTTTCCTTTAAGTTATGGGAAAGCCCTTTGAGACTATATTTACTTAACCAGAAAAACTTTCAACAATTATAATGTATGCTGAAAGTCCACATCTTGTATAAGTTTTGGGTTTTGCTGTTTGAGCATAAAAAGGAAGGGAGCAGGGAGAAATGTAACTAGGTTCACAATTTTGAGCAAGAGCATATGTAAAGGTAACATATGTACATTTTATTTCAAGAAAGACAGAAGACAAACAGCATAAAGATGCCCAGATGCCCTAAAGATAAATACATTTCAAAGATTCTCATTAAAATGAGTCTGTAGTATTTTTTCCTGCAAGCAAAATACCTTTCTTTAAATTAAAAAAAAAAATCAGTATTCTGAATTGCAAATGCTTTTGCTTTTTTTTTTTGCAGAAAATCTGCCATGATTATTTTTTTAATGAATAAGGATTTTCCACAAAACAGGCTTGCTCTACATGCTAGTTTTTTAAACAGTTCAGTGACACAATATGCTAACTACATACACAACAGATAATATAGTAAGAAAACACTCAACCTGATGAAAAGTTAAAATCTTCATTAATACACTGAAAATTGACATAACTCATGCCTTTAAAATCAAAAATACAAAAATTAAATGTTCTCCTAAAAAGATCTCCTTATTTTAAGGATTCATCTGAAAATGAAGCTGCATGTAATTTGTACAATAAGTTGTACAAGTAAACAGGTAATATACATAAAAAATTAACTGACATACTCCTCAATTATCAGTTGTCCACCTTTAATTTCCAATACTGTACTTTCTTAACAAGCATACAAAATATCAAACTTCTCTTTAGAAAAAGTGCCGTTCTTTGACATCCTTTACACAAAAACAGCCTGAGCCTATGGCATGTTAATGCAGTTGAGAGGCAAAGCTTACTAACTTTTACAAATTCTACCTTCCATAAAAAGCCTCCCGAAAAGGAGATTACACGCCACTATAAAAATATCAACCTCTTGTGGTAGCTGCATTAAAAACCAAGGCTTGAGACTATTTTTATATAGCATAGAAAACCACTATGAGAGCATATTAACTGCATTGGTGGCTTGGGAGTTTACTGTGCCACAGGATTATGCATAGCTACTGTTAGGTACCAAGACTGTTACACAGAGTTTAAACTGATTGTAACCAAGAGCATAACAGAGGTACTACCAGCCCATGCAAAGGAACTAAAAATACTGAGTCACTGTGCTGAATACTTCATTCCTGGAGAAAACCAGAGGCAGCAGTAACTAAATCAAGCCCAACAAGTGACCAAACTCATTCTCCTCAAAGATTGGTAAGCACAGTGAAGTCTGAGGTATACCTTTATCCATTAAATCTGTGTGCCATTGCAAGATATTACCATTTGGGAATACACACCATCACAATGGTTTAAATCTTTTGAATATTAGTCATTCATATATTCTTATTATTTACCCAGTCTCTTGATTTTTGAAAAGATTTCACCTACAGTAGAATATTACAGAAACAAAATATAAATGCATGTCTTTCTAAATGAAACTTACATGGACTAAAAGAGAATATTTTTAAACAAATATACAATATGCAGGCAGACAAAGCAGGAAAACGGCCATTCGAATGTATAATAAAAAACTAAAAATTGACTATTTCCAGAAAACTATGAAGCGCCTCAACTAAAAGGAATGCATAATGAAATTCTAATCTAATACAGGTCAAAATGTAAAAAGGTTATAAACCTTAACAGGAAAAATAAAACAACTTTTACTGGCCATTCCTGTTGAAATGAGAATAGTAAAGTAACAGAAAAGTGGCTACAAACCCACTTAGAGCACCAAACAGAGAGAAAACAAAAGTCCATTTTCATCTCTGTTATTATCATAAAATCCTGTGTGACAACAGGTCAAACTGCTGGTGGCAGAAACAGAATTCTTTATAAACTGCAGATGTCTTTACATAAAAAAATTTCACTGGAGTTGCACTAGTTCTAAAGACTCTTCTGTTTTAGCCTACCTACTGTATGTATTCAATCTGAGATAGATAAAGTCTCTTTCTGTAACCCTTGATTATTATTGGGCACCAAAGATAAGAAAAGCAAGACGGGGTACAAAAATGCAAAATTTCAACAGTAATGGCAATGTTTTAGTCTTAGTCCAAAAGGGTCCTGCATTCTCTCCCCCTTCAGTGATTTCACAAGTCTTTATACTTAATCTGGGGGCAGCAAATCATGCAAGCGAAATCTGTCTCTGATGTGAGGTCGGACATCTTCATTCTATGTGGAAAGAAGACAATTTTTTTAAAAAAAAGACATCATTTCAAAGATATGATCCTTAATTTATATTATAAACATTCTTACTGTGCAGAGAAAATATACCATCATATCATTTCTCAGTTTATATTCTTTTGTTTGCCAGATATTTAAATTAAGAAAAAAAATTTTGAGTGTGTGTTTGTGTGTTTTTGCTATAAGATGCATGTGCTTGCCAGAGATACAGAGCTGGAAAGCAAGAAAGCACCCCCCCCCCTCAAGGTGAACAGCTATGCCACAATCCCTTCTCCTCCATTCTCCTATCAGGATCTTGGGCAGGCATGCACACAAACCTGGCGTGAGTTTTTAAGTCTCTGGGTCCAGGACTTTTGAACTGCAGTCAACCACGTGGGAGTCTAGCAACATAACCATTATGCCATCTATCAGTCCCTTAAATTTAAATTTTTAAAAAATACTTCTGTTGAGGTTGTAATTGTGTTAAGAACAATTAACCAGTAAGGGGGCCAAACCAAAAGACGGGTGTAAAAGGTTAAGTCACTGTTTTCTACTTTCTACCTTAAGGTAGAAAATCAACTTAAAAATCAACTGATCTATTGATAGAAAAAAATTATCTGAATAAAGTTGCAGTGGCATATGCATTAATTCTAGAGGGACCAGCAGTTAGCGTAATGGCTATGTCGCTGGACTCCAATGTAGTCAACCACAGTTCGAGTCCCGGACCTGGTGGCTTAAACTCATGCCGGGCACGTGTGCGTGCGTGCCCAAGTTCCTGAGAGGGGAATGGAGGAGAAAGGACTGCAGCGTGGCCATCCCCCCCCGGGGGGTGATTTCTCACTTTCTGTCTCTCTGTCTGGCAAGCGCAGGCGCCCTATTGCAAAAAACCTCTCAAAAAAAAAAAAAAATCAAGATATGAAATATGAAAACAAAGCAAAATAAATTTAGTATGATTTTTAACACAGCCAGTCAGTGACTTGAAAGAAAGAGACCACTGAAATGGTAAAATAGAAGCATTCAATACATAAACTTTTAAATAATAAGCATAATTGTAGTATACTTTATAAGGTTCAGAAGTACTTTTAATCCTTTTTAACCTTTGCCCTATCTCCCTCTACAGCTGACTTTAAAACAAAGGGGGGACCAACAGAGGGCGTGGTGGTTAAAGTGCTGGACACTCCAACATGGCTGACCACGGTTTGAGTCCCAAACCTGGTGGCTTGCTTTCTCACTCTCTCTGTCTCTCTTTGATCAAATTAAAAAGAAACAAACAAACAAAAAACCTGAATGAATCAAAAAATAATTCTTAAAAAAAAAAAAGGGTTTATACTTCAATATAGCTGAGCTAACAACAACAACAAAAACACACAGAAAAAGACAAATTATAAGACATACTTACCAGTTCTACAAGCTTCTCCAGAAATGGAATCAATTTTAGGAGTTCATTATCATTTTTATCCATAAACCAGCTTTCTATAGGGATTCCATTAGAAAGCTAAAATGATAAATAAGTAATTAAACCCTCATTTTACTTATATTTTGCTTAGTTTGGAAAAGCTTAATAAAGAAATCACAGATTAAAGTAAACACTATCTAAAAATTTCTTTGAAAAGGAATGCCACCAAAGTTTTATCAACTCAATCGTGCTAAGAGACAGATGTGAAGAAGTGAACCGAAGCCTCACTGGTTTTAGGATGTTGTTTTTTCTCAGTATATATAAAAGTAAACAATAAGGTTCCATTAAAACAAGTTTTGCAAGGACCATGAACAAAACTCAAAATATTCCTTTATTCATTTAAGAAATGCTAGGCATTGTGAATGAAGGGATAGGATACTGCTAACCCGAACAAAGAAACACTGTCAGAAAACACGTACTTTTGTTTCTTACACAGAGACTGTGCTCCATTGATTGTTCTACTCCCAACAACTAGCACGATAACCTGAAACATAGGAACTTATAACAAATTGACTCAATTGTATTTCACTTAAGAGGAGTCTGAAAACTGTGTTTTGTGGCAAATAATCTCTAAGGTAAAATATATTTTAAAATTTAGGCTACATGTGTTTGAGATAGATGATAACTAAAATGGTTTTAATCTGTTAATAAACTAAGAGTAAATTCCTTTAAAAAAAATGCTTAAAAGCAAATAAAATTCAGAACCCAAAGTGAACACATTTCAGTAACATAGTTCTCTTTTTTATCTTTACTTTTTATAACAGACATTTTGAAACACAGATAAGGGACAATCTTATTCCATGAACACCCCCAATCTACTTCCATCATCCCCATTCTGCACTGATTTTTTGTGAAGCAAATCTCAGACAATGATCACATAAACATA